AGAATACGCGAAATTTGAGCAGGAACGACAAAAGACGGTTTACGCTTTAGACGAGAATCCGCTTTTCCGTCCAGCCACTACTCGCTTTAGAGTGCCTTCCATGTACAAGGACGATTGAAAATAATAACCATTATGCGTAAAAGCAAACGCGTATATTATAATTGTTAATGGTTTATTTCGCTGTTGTTGTAAATATAACAGTCATATGTTTAGAATTTGTAAATACATCTAATAAAAAGTGTGCCATAAGTTAATTTTTACTTAACATTTCATATAATAATTGCGCGATTATAATTGTGATTTACATTAACTTCATCAACGTCGAACAGAGGAAGAGGAGTTTTCTTCCGAAGATTCTCTATATATTTCGTTCCAAAACTGATTAGCAGTTGTAAACGTAACATGCTGTATATAAATGACAAGAGTTCTTTTAACATAACTACAAATCTATGTAAAAAAAACTGGAATATTTTCGTCGATTCATAATTTTGTGCTTATACAAACGTTATCTGAAATCAGTGTAGTTGTCCATTTATATCCAAGCGGTTCCTTGTAAACAATGTCTGAGATGGGCTTATTTCGGGACCATATCGACGTCAATGAGGACCCATCCGGAAAAATATATGTTCCTGTACCATTCATCATTCCATTCGCGTCAACATTCCCCTTATAGCGTGCATTATTATTGTATCTTGTAAAAAAATAAACATTATTACCATATATACGCTTTTTTAGAATTGTTATGAGAATCACATTCTGTTATGTCAAAACGATTCATTAAATTAGTCACCGAATGTAAAATTTATCGCTGCCAAATTTATCGTCACACCATTTACCGTCGTACACGTCGAAATTATCAGTTGTGTACACTCCCTCGTCTAAAAATCGCGATATCAAATATGGATATATATATCAGTGCGTGACTCACTGAGCTAGATAAAAAAATATTGGTAATCGCATAATCGCTAAATATACGAAATGTTAACCTTGTTTAACTAAGGTGCGTCTGTCAACGTTTACTTGATATTTTTCCTCGTAGCTGTCTCCGTTTTTAAAAGTAAATCTCGCAGTGCCGATTCCTACGTTCAAATTTTTGCTGTCAGTTGGTTTGGAGGTTTTCGAACTATTTCGTTTCATATTGAAGAACTTTTTGTTTTTTTCTTCTATTTCTTTAATCTTCCGTGCAGAAACTTCTTTCGAGGATTATACATGTTAAAAACTTTTTATTACGTCAAATACGCACAAGTATAATTTAACTCTCACTTTAAGAATCATTACATGATAACTGCGAGAAGTGAAAAGCTTTCGGCGTGTCGCGAAGCAGAAAGTAACGAAGTCGCAGTGAAAGTTAGTCTTTTCGTGTTATTAATCGCGTTTACGCACGAGAAACGACGCTACGTATTACGCCCGAAGAATTGCACGATTTCTAAGAAAATGATCGAATCCTTTCTTTTAAATCATTTAACCAATCGCTATATGATACCGTAATGAAAGCAAAAACAATCGTAGTGGTCAAAAGAAGCAAATATAGTATGTTTCTCAATGAAAACATTTTGACAAATTTCTGTATATAGGTACTTAACATCGTTCATGCAAAAAGATCAAGTAAGATAAGTGGAATTTATTACGTCTTCTTGTGTTGTAAAGTACAAAATACATGACATAACAGGTACAAAATGGTTATGCAACATACCGTAACACGTATGTATTTTAATTATTTCACCTTTGCAAAGGTAAATAAATTATGGCATTGTATAAGGATTAATCAAAATGTTTTAAAATAAAATCTATTGTATATATATTTATTGTAAAAATCTATTATTAAGACAAATATAGAAATTGTATAATAAAAAAATTAATTTTTTATTTTAATTCTTAGAAGAAGAGGAGATATTACAATGCTATCAGCTTATAAAAGCAATATACTATATATATATATATATATATATATATATATATATATATATATAATATATATACGTGTAGTATCGAAAATAAGAGATAAGATTTTACAGTTTCAACATATATAGGTATTGCATACGAATATTTCGTACATGGATATTTCGAAGATATTGTGATATGAATAATTTACCTGAAAGGTTTTTTTTGTTCCTGATATGGAAACTTTGCGTTTACATATTATTAAAATAAACTTTACATATTACACATGTTACACACTCTGACATCCTTATATCAATCAAATATAATATCGGTTGAATGAGCGATATTACATAATTTATTACTTAAAATTACGCTTTGGAAAACTGAAGCTTAAACCACGCGCAAATTGCATTATACATCAATCATAAGTAAATTTGTTCAGCATACAATAATATACATTATTCTTATAACGTAAATATCTCTTACAATATTATATAAAATAACGGATAAAAGAAAAACAAAATCTTTACAAATTCTGTAAAATTATTAAACAGTTTGTTTAATTAACATTACGGTAACATGTTTCTACAATGTAGCATCAAATTACAAATACTCTAATGTTACTTTTATACCTAGTACTGACATCATTTACAAGTTCAGTATCACATTTTTCCACCATATATACCTATTTATTATATTTTTTCATGTAAAAAAGGTAAAACTTCACGCCAAAGACCGCAAAAATAGCTTCAGGTTCAATGGCTACGTTTACACCCTGAAATTAGGCCGCGGCCTGTACCTCAAATTCGACCTAAAGTCTGACCTGAAGCTAGTTTCGGCCGCCTATCAAATGTTTACAGCAGGCGGCCTAAATAATTTAGGTCGAATTTGAGGTATAGACCGCGGCCTAAATTCAGGGTGTAAACCTAGCCATTGATCTTGTTTTTACTAAGATCCACATTCAGCGTTATGAAATTAGGTACTATAAAACTTCCATAGACGCAAAACATAGGATTACCGTAGGAATCGCTATTACGAAATGCTGTTATTGTTACATATGCATGTCTTCCACGCCTCTGAATTAAAATAAGTATAACGCACTCTGCTTAGGGAGGAATTCAATTTTGCGCAATATTAAGCAAAGACTGCACTTCTAAGTGTATCAACACGATTTCGAAACAATTCGTAATTATCGCGAAATCGTCACGTATGTGAAAGCTTTTTATGTTGTACTAACAACATAAAATGTTGTAAGTCATACAATCAAAAGCAAAGATACTGTCCAGTTCTGGTAAGATTAAAATGCATTTGCACCGAGCTTCTCCTCTCTTCTAGCAATTGATTGACCTGCCAGTCGCTGAAGGCACTGCGAAAAGAAACTTGAAGAGAGAGAAACTCTGTGCAAGTACATTTCTACTCGTCAAAATTGATAGTATTTTTGTTTATATTTCCCATCCACCGAAATAATTGAAAAGATCGAAACACAAAGAACCAAAGGCCAACGCTGCATGGTTGCAAGATGGAGACGCGATATAGGAAGAGACAAAATATATTCTAGACCGATAATAAAACCGTGACGGAGCAAGAAAGTTTAAGGCTTTCTTTCGGAGCTGGATATACGTCTGGCTAATTGTTGATGGATGGTCGCGCTGTTTGGATCCTTTGATGGCGGTACGGTACATTCCTCTTCCGCGACAGTTGCAGTTCTAGTTGCAGCTATAAACTTGCTATCTTCGTGGCCGGGCGAAGCGTCTCTGACTAACCCACGAAGAAACATAGCGACGCATGGCCATGGAAATATCCTACGTTTTATCGATTATGCAGTTTTTTTGTATGAGCGGCTAAATAATAATGAAATAACAATTTACTTACCATTTTAGAGTAAGCAGAATTTGTAAGTAGCCCGGAATGATGGTATATTTCTCGTTACACCTCATCGCCATTATTATTCTATCAGCTACAGCATTTGGACTTAGAGTTGGGATATATCTAAATTTCAAATATACTTTTTATAATGAGCTTGTAGTATGTTCAAAATTTTTTGATCAAATATTTCAAAAATTTTATAGAATATTTTCTAATGTGATCAAATATAAAGAGAAAAGTGAACAGAATAGAAACAAATTTTTGCACACATTATTGTGTAAAAACATGTCAAAACCAGAATTATAAACAAATTTATCAATATAAATATAAAAAATACATATAGGTATATAATATATACATATACACATAAATTTATATTGATGTTATTTATTTATATTTATATATTATTAAAAGAATACAAATAATATGTTAATTTATAAATTAATACGCTTCTAGATAATTTTTTGAAATTTTTAGAACATTTGATTAATTCGATATATTTATTGTATTAATCACAAATATCATAAAATGTTATCTACCTTGATTGAACGTCGTCGAACATACCAGTACTGCGGATGAAATAAGGACATACGACTGTTGTGTTGATATCGTATCCTTCGTACTAGAGCAGGATGGAGTAAAAATGAGTTTATTGATTAGTCAAAAATACGCAGGTAAGTACGATTCTAGTAATTATAACGTGCCATCTCTCGTAGGTAGAGCGAGTTAAATTGAATAGAAAAGTCCTTTACCGTTTTGTAAATCTCCATAATTAATGATAAATTAATTAATAAAGATCTGCAAATCAGCGTGTGTCCACGCAATTCGACGAGAAGAGACAGCCTAGCGTTAAGGTCTTTGCGCAAACAAAAATATAAGGAACAAGGAACAGATATTAGCGAATAGCGATTAGGACTAAGGTATTAGAAATAAAGCTGACAGGCAACAAAAACAGAGAATAACACAAGCAATAGATTTTTAACTTGTAGGAAGCCATGTATCAATGCTACACCAGCTTTATTCCTGATTTTTTATTTCTAATCACTAATATTTGTTTTTTGTTTTTTAGATTTTTGATTGTGCGGGGGAGCCTTTATGGTTATTACGCGCGCGACGAGACATTAGGAGGAACACTCTGTATTAAACAATGATTATGCATGAACGCGTTATGACGTGTGATGCTGGACCTAACAATTGCACGCATAACAATCGTAAACTGGGATATCTCTTTTCGCCGAATCGTGAGGACGTATGCCGATTCGCGGATTTCTATTAACCCTCGAAAGCCCCTACTCAGGGACCCCAACAAAATTTTGGAACTACGTTTGTGTGGAAGTATCATTTAAATTACAAAAAAAAAAAATGATATCTCTTTAAATTACAGCGCCAATTACAGAGAAAACATATATATTGCCTCAAAAAATAATTGTTGCACTACTTTGAAAAATCTTTAAATTGTGTTTTTTAACAAAGGAATACAAGATATTTAAATACAAAGTTTACATGTGTATTTTTTAGT